GTATGAACACGAAGAATTGTACATTTTCCGTACATGTATAGGCGTATATATCTAGGCCAAGGATAGATCGAGGAAAATAAGGTTCATGTTTATTAGAGAGAGAAGTATGGTTAGTCATTTGTTTTGTTAAATAATGACGGAACGTCCATCTTGTATTAATTGTGGTCGAATATTTTACTCGAAAAATCGTTCATTAAGATCTACAACTTTTCGAACAATCTGAAACAAAAAAAACTATCGATGGCTACATACGTTATTAAAAGCTCGTGGAATTCAGCTTCAACCTGAAATGTTTATTTGTGGTCTATATCGAAGTGTCCTCCATAAAGAACGAAGGCATCGTCGTTCTGCGCAACATCAATCGGTTGTCGATACGAATACGAGTGATCATGAAGATGTTGATGAAGCTCAAGAGCAGCAGAAACCATCTTCAATTTTGGATAATGGTGTTGTACTTAATGAGATTTATGGTAATGGTGATGATTATTTGTATTGTGCATGGTGTATGAAAACTGGTGTTATAATGGTACAATTAACATTACTAGAATGTATGGCACTTCTTTTGGATCATGGTATATATACTTCTCGTAATGCTCGTCGATGCACCAACAATTGTTGCAGAACACCCCGAAAACGTCCTCATGAACCGACTAATCTATCGAGTGAACTGGCCATTGATCTTATTAATGATCTCATTACCGAATTATCACGCGTCAAGGTTGCACCACTTCTTTCGGAAAATGACATCATCTTGACCGAAGAAGATTACATCAATTGGACTGGATGGACATTACAACAACTAAATAATATGACATCAATCGTTGCTCCTCATATGTATTCATCAAAATATCGAACACCATTCGAAGCTGTTTGCTTATTTTGGGTAAAATTAAAAACAAATCTATCATTTCGACAGATTGGAACGCTATTTAAAATATCAACATCGGAAGATAGTATCCGACGTCGTGTTGAAGATACATTTCATGCTATTTCGACCTATCTCAACAATACGATTGTCTCTTCTCATCTCGGTCTGAATCATTTAAGTCGTATTGAAGCACTTAGTCATCATACGGCTTATTCAAAAATGTTTTTTGGGAATCGATTGGCTATTATATGGGATGGCACTTATGTGTTTTGTCATAAATCAAATGATCATAAATGACAACGAGATTGTTATTCAGGACACAAATCAAGACATCTTGTTAAAATGATGAGTTTAGTTTTACCTGATGGTTACGTCGTCGATTTATTAGGTCCATTTTATGGGAAAAATAACGATTCTTCTATTACAAAAGAAATCTTGCACACCTGTACAAACTTATCAAATCTATGTCAAGATGATGATATTCAAATAGTGGACCGAGGGTTCAGAGATGTTGCTGCTGAATTTGAAGCTCTTGGTTATGATATGAAAATGCCTGGTTTATTAGACAAAAATGACAAACAGTTATCTACAAATGATGCAAATGAATCACGTTTAATCTCCAAATGCAGATGGGTGGTGGAATCGTTTCATGCCCGATTCAAAAAATGGAGATTCTTTAGTGAACGTATTGATCAATCATTTTTGCTTAACATTGGAAAATTAACTCGTATTGTTGCTGCTTGTCTAAACAAATATCGTCCTGTGCTATATGATGCTAATTCTGACCACGACAAAGCTATTGTACAACGAATCATTGATCTATTAGATCGACAAAGTACATTAGAAAAATTAGTTTCTAGTAATCAGTTGTCATTAAGAACAAATTGAATTACATTAATGAATACGGACAACAAATTTGACTTTCCTCAACTTGATCTTGAGTCTCTTCGTGATTATACATGTGGAACTTACCAACTTAAACAAAGAGAAGCTTATGCTAAAGCTCACTTATATCAATATGACAACGAATTCGAATTCCAAATATCACCTGATAATGATCGTCTTATTCGGTGTCGACTTCATAGTCGACATTCTAATGTAACTCGTTATTTCATATGCATCGAATTCGACAAAGACGACGATAATAAACCTATAAAGGATCATTATTGTCAATGCAAGGATGGCAAAAGAATGGTGGGATGTTGTGGGCATGTTTCTACTGTACTTTGGTTCCTCGGATATGCTCGCCACATCGGATCGATACCACCAACAAGAACAGATAAATTCAAAGAGAGAATCATGATATGTTAAAATAGTTGTAACAGGAATTAACTATT